AATTCGTGTAAATTCATTACTGAATTTATTGAACTCGTTGAATAAAATAATATTATTCAACTCGTGCAATAAATGCAGTATTGAACTTACATTCATTCAATATCCTCTATATCCGTGCTGTTCTACAGAAATTAGAAACTCAGACTTTTTCCTACATTAGTAATATAAATATATTACTTGACATTTTGTCTTGGTTTTTACTTTAACACGTGCAGTATCTTTTTCGCCAAGCCGTGGATTTAAATCTGAACTGCATGTATATCCTTTATCCATAAATACAAAATTAATATAGGTTGGCCTTTAGACGTCATTTTTACTTAATTAATATTCAAAAGCGGCCCTCGAAAGCGCTAGTGCAAATTGTGCAAATTAATGCAACTGACTATTTTTATGAAGCACTGTATATGACAAATAGAAGGAGACTATGAAGTATCGACTTTTGTTCTTTTATGGAAATTGCAAGGATGTCCTACCATACGCGCGCAGAATAGATTTGATTTTAATTTCTTTTGCAAAGAAGATAGCCTTACTTCTAGTTTTAATATTTCAAATGCCTTGACACAACTCTTCCCTTTCTCGTCAGTATATATATTTCGCGTTGAGTGCGATTTTGATTCTGGATACTGCGTACACCCGCCGTTGAAATGTTACAGAATTTGAGAAAATGCCGATTAAACTGAAAGTTTCACGCAACTGGAAGTTAGTTTATAGTAGAATTTAATTCAAATCTATTCTGATTGCTTTGCATGACTCGATTTTTGTTGAAAAAAAGTGTTCGCGGTATCAGAATTTTGAGGATGCTCGCGTATGGTATGACCCCTTTGAATTAACACAAATAATTTTGAAAAAATACAGGTTTCCATTAGATGACAAATACATTTGGACACTAATTTTATTTAGTGTCTAGCTTTATTTGTCATCCAATGAAAACGCTGTATTTCTTAAAAATTATTTGTGTTTACATATCGGAGTTAGATATTTCTATCCAGACAAATATTATTATGCAAACACTAATTAATATTCAGTTTCTTTGTTTGGTTTTACTCATCCTCTGATGTATGGAAAGACCCGAGCAAGAAACATAACTTTTTCTATCCAAAACAAACTGATATATAGAAGTTCTAATAAGTAGAAAAATGCGCCGTACGTTACCATTCATATTTAAGCGCCATACGTTATCATTTCCAGGAAATGTCCCGATATGAATATTTACAGCGGTTATTCTAGTCAGAATGGGCATGAATGCTTATATGACGAAATATCACAACTTTTTAAAGTCAGTGGTTTCAGTTAATATACATATATGAAAACGAAACAGTGAATTTTAGAGAAGAAGCCGTACGTTACCACGATCAAACCGGTGGAAAATTCTCTCGCTTCGATTCTTGTGACGCGCATTTCAGAAGAAGTACGGGACAAAACATCATGAAATAGAATCATGTGTGCCCGGAAAATTGTGGAGAAGGTTGTTATATGTACCTTTACACAAGAACATCACGAATTTCAGAGATGAAAGGGAAAAACTTACTTTTCGACTGCATCCACCATCTTGTTTGTTTGGGTTACGAACGGCGTGATTCTTCCCCGTGAAATTAGAGAATAAAAAAAACGGACGCAAAATGCCAAAGACAACAAAATTGACAATGTTACAGACTCTTTTAGTAGACGACAGTGGTAAAATACTGTGGCCAGAACGGGCAGTGCTCTGAAAATTCAATACAATGTCAGTTTCCTCCTTAATATAAACGGTATTTTTTACATCTGCATGAACAAGCTTATTTCAATTAATGAATTATCAGAGTTACACATTGAAATTTATAATTGCCTACGAATTGCCATTGAAATATTAGAAAAAGATCAACAAAGAAGAATTGGAAAAAAAATCGGTAATAAGGGAATACTTTGGAAGCAACGAAACAACAAATTACATGAAAATTGAAAGTTTAGTTTTACGTGACGTGATTTTCTTTTTTCTTTTAGTTCCTTATCAGCTACTATTTATTTATTCTTATGTATGATTTTAGTGGTTAGCCTGCCTATGCTCTGCCTTGTGCCCTGTCCTGTTTTTGTTTGGGGTCCTCCTGGGCTCCTTGCCACTGGCTCTTGTTCCTGGGTCGGGTTGGGGTTGCGTTCATTGAACGCCGCCTTTCCTTGTTGATCTTGTTTATCATATTTTATCACATATTATGTGACGAGGTACAAACTTAAAAGGATCTCAACTGAGGACCAAAGGTCTTAAAAAATAAAATTTGAAAGTCTGAATATATCATTTGAAGCACTTAAAATGAAAAACTCTGTCAATGATAACAAAGAAATATGCTCAGAGTTACATTGAAAATCGATTTTTTTTTTGTTCGCATCTTAGCCGGATTTGAATGAAAAAGAATGACGATTTTCTTTTTTCGTTGGATCATTTGCGCAATAAAATTGATTATTATGAAAAAGAGGGTACAAGAATGCCCTGAAAATTTACACGCACGTAATTATTCGAAAATACGATGATGAAAAGTCGAAAGTACGATGTTTGAAGAACGAAATTATATCGGGCTTTCACCATCGTACTTTCTTCTTTTCATCACTTTATCTTCGACTTTTTACCATCGTGGTTTCGTTATTTCGACTTTTCACTATCGTATTTTCGTTGCTTCTAGTTAAATGTATACGTGTGTAGCCATGACCATAACGGCACATCGTATGGATCGCATTATTATGCGCAACATTTACAAACTTTAGAAAGAGATACAAATGAAAAAACAACAACAAAAACAATAAAAAAACAACAGGAAATCAATTCCTGCGTTTTCCGTCCAATTATTTAGGGTTTTGATTGCGTGAAAAAGAGATCAGACAAATTTGAAAATTTACTTAATATGAAGAATTTTATTTTAGTCATATAATATAGTCTTTTAAACTAAAGCAAAAACGGCAAAATGAAAATGTTGCAGACTTGGTTTGATTACGGCTTTATATTACAATTATTGTAATTGAGATCTGTGGTTTGATTTAGCCATGGACAGCACTGGAAGGTGCTCTTAAACCATTAACAGAGATGTACATAACATACATGTATTATCTTTGTCTCTGCCATAATTGAATGCATCAGATTATCATACAAATTAGCTAGGTCGCCTGTCGGTGTTATGAAACTAATTTCTCTTCATAAAAGATATGTAATTAATGTATTAGCGAGAAATATTTATACAGAAGAATAGCCGACTTACAGTTCAACAACGGTGGTTAGGGATATTAAAAGGCTGGCGGAAATTGCCGATTGTGTTACGAAAAAAAATGCCTATTCTTGGCTAGAGATCATCAAACACAATTTGCCAGAATAAAAACGATGAATTTTAGTCGTAATTAATGTTATAAATCTCGTTATCGCTGAAGTCTTCTGATTTTAACTAATTTAAATCATTTAAAATATTTTAATTAAACGGTTAAGAATGCAAATTTGTGAAATATGCATTACTCTTCTCTAAATATATAGATATATAGGCCTTCTCACGTTAATACATTATCAATAGAATTTACTCAGTCAAAATCATTTAGTTAAGACTGGGACAGAGTAACTGGGACAGAATAACACCTTTCTATCCCAGGGTAACAGTGGAAGTATTTTGTTCACATAATGAAAATGTTTTTAATATAATAAATCTAAAATTTTTTCAGACCGGGACATAATACATAATAGAATCGGTACAAGTCAACCCGGCCCCAAGTCAACCCGGCCCCAAGTCAACCTGGCCCTAAGTCAGCCCGGCCCCAAATTGGTCAACCCGGCCCCAAACCAATGTTATTTCTGGTCAACCCGGCCCCATTTTTATTATTTATTTTGCTTTAAAATATAAACACTTATCAAGAAATAATATAAAAATTAACAACAAAAACAACAACAAAAGTTTAACGATGATATCTTTTATTATTTATTTTATATAAAAACTATCAATATTAACAAACAAGCAACACATGCATAGTTTACTGTTTTTACCGTCGCTAAAATAAGGTGACGTCTTGTCTTCAACCTTAACCTCTCTACTATAGAAGTAAACTTTTTATTGACATATCGTGGAAAAGAAACCTTAATGTGTTCAAATCATTACTATGTTATTGTATGTTAAAAAAAGAAATGCAAAAGCACACTAAAGTGTGTCCATTAACAGTTTTTAAGTAAGATTAATTATAGAGATGCTGACATCTATCACAGGTATCGCAGGTCACTGCCTCCTGTCTGTCACGCACAATATATCCACAATCAATACAGTTATCAGTCATAATGACATAAAGTGATTAAACACAAAACACTATCAATTTTTCAAACACTTAGTAATATTCCAATACTTTTTTACACTGTAAATATTCTTTGAAAATGATTTATAAATAAAAAAACGAAACAAATATTAATTATACGGATGAACGTATTCAATAAAAACAATCAAATGAACTGGAAAAAAAAAAGATAAAAACTTAATTTATACAAACCTTTTACATGTAACTCGACATTCTATGCATTTTTTTTACTATTGTTCTATAGTTAATAATATTCAATTAATAATAAATCATTTTTATTCCATCATACAACAAAATGACTTGAATAGTTTTCTTTGAAAATATATATTTTGGGGCCGGAATGACCGATTTTGGGGCCGCACTGACCAATTTTGGGGCCGCATTGACCAAATGAAAATACGGTGGGGCCAGACTGACCAATTTTGGGGCCGGGTCGACCAATTTTGAGGCCGGGTTGACTTGGGGCCGGGTTAACTTGGGGCCGGGTTGACTGTAATTCAATAGAATATATCGTTCATTAATCGCCATGTGCTATGTTTTTCACCTATTTTAATCTTAAAATAGGTCTTATCATTCATAATATTTAATGCAATTGTATTTCGTCAATGTGAAAATGACATGCATAATATGGAATAAACGCAAGGAAACAAAGCATTTATCTCAGTAATGGTTCAAAGGTGTGATAACATGTGTTTCATACAATCACACGCATGCGCAGTCAAAGTCAGAATGGTATAGCTTACAAAAACGTGAGAGAACAATCAAAACAAAAGAGAAAAAGGTTTATCATTTGTATTATCTTAACGGAAAAAGTTTCAGTTAACCAGGAGGAAATTTATATCAATTCAACAATACAGGTATGTTTTAAAATTTGTCTCCTTTTTGTTGTTATCTGAATTTTGAAACGGACACTTGCACTGTGTTTTCGTTTCAGCTGCTGAAACCGTGATCGGTTAAATCAAAACATAAAATCGGTTCAGATCAGTACGAATTGATATCCAAACACATTTAATTAAATTATTAATTTGTTTTCAAACATTTCCGCGATATTAACTTTAATTTTGTAACCAAAATACCTAAACTATATTTACTATTGAAAAAGAAATCTGTTGAAACTGCTGCTGAGTTCATATGAAACTACTGTAGTGTGGGTCATTGTCCTTTAGTATCAGCTGTATAATGAAGACATTTGTTACAGAAACCAAAACATTTATGGAAACTGTATTTTATTGAATAAATGTGAAAGTTAAAGGTTGTATTATCTTGTAAGCCTACAAGGATAAAAGTTGAAATCCAGTGAGTAACATTGATCACAGGAACCTGAAATTCTATCCAAAACAAAAAAATAACGATTTTAAAAAAATCCCATACATATACTATAAAAAAACACAAGGAAGGCAACAACATTTCCCCACCCACCGCCACATTTACCAGGGATATTCGTAAAAACGCCTGGAATTTACTTCCGAGCACACTAAACCAATAAAGCACATTAAAATCTATCAGAAACACAACTTACTCTTATCAACTATACGCCAATTGAATGAATTTATCACTGCTCTTCTCCAATCGTCGGTTCCATTGCCAGTTCAAGCGATAAACTCCGTCATACCGTTATTGACCGGTCTTTGTAGATCCCGAAATTCTATCGAAAAAAATAAGAAAACGATTTAAGTAAAAATCCCATATATATAAAAGTAGTATTTAATATGGGATTTTTATTTAAATCGTTCTCTTTCTTTGTTTTGGGTAGAATTTCGGGATCTACAAAGACCGGTCAATAACGGTATGACAGAGTTTATCGCTTGAACTGGCAATGGAACCGACGATTGGAGAAGAGCAGTGATAAATTCATTCAATTGGCGTAAAAGTTGGATAGTTGATAAGAGTAAGTTGTGTTTCTGATAGATTTTAATGTGCTTTATTGATTTAGTGTGCTCGGAAGTAAATTCCAGGCGTTTTTACGAATATCCCTGGTAAATGTGGCGGTGGGTGGGGAAATGTTGTTGCCTTCCTTGTGTTTTTTTATAGTATATGTATGGGATTTTTTTTAAATCGTTATTTTTTTGTTTTGGATAGAATTTCAGGTTCCTGTGCATTGATCAACTCATTCAGCCAGGTGGGCCAATGTAGTGGTTATGTTTTAGGTCAACATAATATTGTGGGAGGTATGTTCAACATTACCATTAGGACATAAGGGCTGTGTATATCCAGTCAGGTGCTGTTCCTATCTATGATTCAGACCAGACGATTCACTCACCATACCACAAATCATCTAATTATTCTAATACTAATAGTAATACTAAAGTAAGTAACAATGTATTTTATAACAAGTTAAATTAAAAGAAAAAAATACTGGTAAAGAATGAGATCTACATAATTCATATATCAAAAGTTTTAAGTTGAAGTTCTGCATAAAATGTTTTAGAACAGGGTAAATGCTTGTGAAATATAAATAAGACAAAATTAAACAGTGAAATAATTAACAGTTTTTTTTAATATAAATTTTTTTAAAGGTTAATGCAATAATTAAAAGAGTTTTTTTATTAATGCGGTATATGTGTGAATTTGCAATGTAGTAATTTTTTATACGCCCATTTGAAAAATGGGTCGTATTAGTTTCCCCCCTGGTGGGAGGGTGGACGGGCTGGCGGCATCCAATATTTGTCCGGAGCATTTCTCCTTCACCCATGGAGGAATTTTATTGAAACTTCATAGAAATGTTCACCACTATGAGAAGCTGTGTCTCGTGCATGAACCAGGTCTTTAGGTCAAAGGTCAAGGTCACACTTAGAGATCATTAAAAAACGCTTGTTCAAAAAACTTCTACATGTTGCATATAGACGGATTTCAATATAACTTGGCACAAATGTTCACTATTGTGAGGTAAAGTGCGTGTGCAAAATTTAGGTCCCTGTGGCTAAGGTCAAGGTCACACAGGGATCAAAGTTCTGATAGAAAAATCACTAGAGATGATAATGTATCCAGATATTTTCAAGATATTGCCCAGAGCATATCTCTTATAATATGCATATCTGTAATGCCCACATCTCTCCCAAAACCTTCTGTGACAGGTGTATATTGTGACAATGTTGCCCTTGTTTAAGTAATGAATACCACCTGATCTTTATTGTCAAGGTCTGAATCACAAATATCAAAGTATCTGAATATTAATTGTTACAGCTTTGACTTTCACTCGCTTGTCTTTCCTACCATACCATTATTTTGGGTTGAACTTGCTAAGGAAGTTTGATTTTTTTATGATTTAGGAATTGCACGTATCTTAACATGCACACTCTCAGCAAGGTAAAACAGTAGATTTGAAAAAATATTTTGAACATGAACTTGAACAAGTCTATTTTAAGATATTAGTGGGGTGAGGGTTAATTACTTATAGTTGAAACAACTATCAATTATTCAATACACATCAGATACTAACTTAACTATGCCATCATAACCTAGTTTCGAAATCCTTGACTTTGTTCATTGGAATTATGCATGGTACAAAATAATAACAACTGTTCATTGAATTCAAAGTACTTTAATCAAGTGCCACTTAATTAAAACATTGGAAGTTTAAAATTGGTTGAAGTGTTTCTAGTCAAGTTATTGTCTGTTATTGTGCACATGGATGTTAGTAATATTCAGTCACGCCTTCCCATACGTCAATTCACTTTCAGATTTTTCTAGGTACAACAGTTGAAATAAAAACATAATGTTTCAAGTAAATAGGTAAAATTGTTAATTGTCTGAAGTTGTTGGATTGAAATTGTTATGAATTTAAATAATTTAGGTAAGAGTTCATTGTAAAGTAAAGTTTTAAGTGCACCATAAGTTCATAACTTTCAAATTGAGTTTACACCCACAGGGCTGTTTGAAAGTTTGAAGGTTTTAATAGTTGCGTTAATTGGGTCAGACTTTGAAATCATTTGTGTGCTTTTAATTTTGATCCATCATAATATATGTATTGGTAATAATTGGAATCTGTAGTTCATGGATAAATTAAAAGGGCAAGGCTGAAAATTCTACTGTTACTTTGTGCATTTCCGTGGATTGATTAAATGGTTAACCATTAAGAGAGAAAAGTCGTCGTTTATTGTAAAGCAGTTAGTGGGATAGACTGGGGGTAAGAATAAAAATCTCTTTTATAATTAGAATTTTTTAAACATTTTTGAACTAAATTTTCTTTTTTTACGTCATGTCATATTTTTTTTAAAAAATTGAGGGAAAAAATTAAAAAATTTTCAAGCCCTAAAAAAAAATTTTTTCTCTAAAAAACGGGGCCCATTTAACTTACATGTACGATGGACAAGTTCATTTAAAATATTTAGAGTGGAAAGAGTTAACAGTGACTACAAAAAATGTGAAAGACAACGTGACCTGTTTGAAATGTTGACTTTGGCCTTGTATTAATAACTTAAACTTGTATTATAGTCAAGTACTGTGTTCTATTTTAATACCGGTATATCATAAGCACAAGTACGTTTGAAAAGCTTTAGAAATTGAATATAGTAATATTGTATAGGTTTCAGTCTAAGTAACTAATCAATATATCTTTTTTTAGTGAAAGAAATAACAATAGATTTTAGGGGTAAAAATGCAAAGTGCCTTTGTTTTAGTTTAAATTTTAACCCATTTCTATGCTAAATATCTTACATAAATGGGCTTGCCAATTGTTCAATCTGGACAAAACCATTCATTTAAGTGAAAAAAACATACTTTATTAAGCAGGAATTGCCATGCGTTTTGCGATCTAAAATAATGTTGTAAAAGGAAATAGCATAATTTGGGTACAGATATTTGTTCTTGATAAGTGAAAAACATTCTGTATTAAGCAGCAATTGTCTTGCCTTTTGCGATCTAAGATAATTTTGTCATTGAATAATTTAGACAAACCTTGGGCTATTTCTTTTGTTTTTATATTTGATCAAGCTTATAAATAAAACATGTGATTAATTGTACATTTTCTTGACCGAAGAGTTTCTAATAGCAAAGTCTAGACAAAAAAAGAATGTTTCGTCGTTCACAGGCATATGAAAGATTTTATGTTAACAAAAAATGAATTAAACTGCCCTTTTTTATGGGAATTGTTGCAAATTGCAGGAAATGTCTTATAAAGTTTGAGAAATATGTACCAGTTTTGACATCGTTTGTGATTCCAGAAGTTACTTTGGCTTTATGTTAATTTTTTATTGAGATTTGAACTTAAAATATAGTCCTCAATTTTGGTCATTATCATAATGTACATGTATAACCATGTGGTTGTGTGCCGTTCATAGAATTTTACAGGTGTGCCTGATCTATTTATAGTAACAAGAGATAAAAAGGTTGAAAAACTATCCTTAAACAACCCTTAATTTACTAACAATAAAGGGATGGGCAAGGGTTAACATAAATTTATTTTTACACACCTGAATTTTCACCAAGCCTTAAGTTAAAAGAGCACAGTCATTTGCAGTGGAAAAAAACAACAACAAAAAACTGCATACTATTTAACTAAAGCTTTAATGAAACTGCTTTATTAAAAACAAAAAATAGCCTTATAGCTACGTAGTTATTTGGTAAATATCCTGGTATAATATGAGTCTTATGACGTTTTTAGATACAAAAAAACTATAGAAATTACAAGTTTGGATCCTGGTGTATTTTATAATGTATTGATAGGGCAAATTGTCTTAACTTTCTACATGGCTAAACTTGTGTGAAGTTAGAAAATAAATCATTCATTAATGCGTTTTTTTTTTCATACTAGGGAAGGGTAAAAAAATTTTTATAAAAAGATATTAAATAAAACAAAGATACAAGTCATTGTATATAGAATATAGAAAACTAATCCCTTTATATAAAACTTGTATTG